AAAGAGTTTTATCTGTACATTTTGATCAGGAAAGATTTTCATAATATGTTCACTGAGAAAAGAAAATTGCATAATAATATACTTAGTTTGACCATGTTTTATGAAAGGAACAATACTATCACCACAAATCAGTATATGTAATATGAATATAGGCATCCTAGATAAAAACATAGGAAGACACACAAAAAATTTTAACTAATGCTAGTGTCCTTAAAAGAGAATTAGAAAGATGTATATTCTTTACAGATATGTTTTCTTGATATTGTTCTATGTTGTTTAATATATTACTTTTGAAATTAAAACATGTAATTTTTTTTAAAGATTGGATTTGTCTGCTTCAGGACATTTGTGAATGGTGAGCTAATTCAATCTCAAGCAATTTTTAGCCCCTTATTTACTTGGTGTCAGTTTTAGAAATCGTACAGTAAAACAATGGTAGCACATGCTTATATGTGTCTCCTAAATAAATATGCAGTACCATTCATATAAACAGTTCTTAATTGTGACCAGGTTAAACTCTTTCAAGCCATTTGCTTTCCGAGCTCAAATAAGAATATCCACAGTACACCAATGCAACTGGGAAACTAAATCTCAGCAATAGCTGTGATTGGGTAATTGATTGCAGAGTCAACTGATCCACAGATTATTTATTAATACTATAAATGGAATAATGTGTAGGAAAGTTACCTTTTAAGGTAAAAAAATGTGAAACATAGTTTTGCTTACATAAAGAAAACTGTATGAAGAAAACCAGATTGGAAAAATAATATACACACAAAGAGATTTGTTAATATTAGTTTTGTAATAAATTACATTTTGGTTTAAAATATGCACATTTATATCTGTTTCTACCTGGTGAAATGTGATGTGATTTAATTCTAAAAATCTCTGCCACTTCTATAACCCTTTGTAAATAAAAACAAATTTCTGTAAAAGCTTCTGACACTTTTATATCAGAAGTACTTATTATGATAAAGTATTTATCATTGTGAACTGATAGGTACTTTAGTGCCATATATTTTAAAGTAGATTCTCAAAACAGATGTGACACTTCTGGTATCTGTAGACACACACCTAAGACCTTTGCCCCTTGATTTGGTCCTTCTGGAAGAGCCCAGTCTGGGGTAGTATGATTTCCTCTAAGAACAATCTTTAAGTCTCCTTTAAAAGGGTTATCTTCCCAGCCACCGATTAATCTACCTCCCTGAAATAAAGCAGAAAATTGTTAATACTTAAAAATTGACCAGGAAAAAAAATCCACCCATAAAAAAGAAACTAAGAAGTCACTGGAAGTCTCCCCTAGTAAAAAGGAATGAGTTTTGTTATATAAAGAACAGCATTATAACTGGAAGTGACTTTAATTTCACTTTTGGATAGGCAGTTTAAATGATTTTTCAAAGGTCAAATTCAATATCTACTTATGGACAGAAGCAGACCTAAAACTGAGATTTCATAAGACTTAAACTAGTGGTATTTGAACAGACCATAATGTATTTGAACGTAATATCCCATACGTAAGATATACTCTTCACGCTTACACCCAAGCTATGCCATTTATGAGTCGTCATTGTTAATACTAACAGCTATCATTAAATACTTGCTATTTCCAACATGCATAATGTGTAAGGCTTCACATATATTATATCATTTAACCTTTCTTTACACCAAATTCATGAATTAGTATTATTATCCTTATTTCACAGGTAAGAAAACTAATGATGAAAGAGGTCAAATAACTTACCCATGGTTACCCAACTAAAAAACAATGAGGTAAAGATTCAGTTGTAACTTTAATTTACCTTAAAGCCATTCATCTAATCAAAATATGATGCACTTTTAAAATATTAATAACCAAGTTTCTGGACTTTATTCCTTCTCTCAAAGAAATAATAATTCTAACTACTTATTATTTTAATGATGCTTAATAGCTTTTTGGCTAAGCTATTCTTTTTCATAAACAATATTACAAGACTCACAGAACAATCGAGCTGATTAAGCTGGTACAGGTTCAAGACCATCCGGGGTTTACAAGGAATGTGGGGATTGTTCTGAATAACTGTAACATTTTGATTTATTTTCTCTTGGTTTCATAATTCCATTTATATCTCTGGGGTTTTTTTTTAATACTGTTTGTTTTCTTTAAAAAACAAAAGGCTTAAATTCTTTTAATTTTTTCAGAACTCCTAGGACTCTTTGTTGGAACAAGCTGTTGGTTTAGCCTGACCTCATAATGACACAGATATTCTATGCAGAATTGAAACTGGGCTAACTGCAAACTTAAGAATCCCATAATAACTACTCCTAAGAAATGTTTAGTTCGTAATTTAAAGGAGAACAGAAATATACTGGACTTACCTGAGACTCACATTTAATGGGCTAGAGCCAGTTGTACTTTTTATTCACACCAATTGAATATGCTTCCTTCTTATTATTTGAGTAAATATACATCTTAGAATTAGATTAATAAAGATATAAACTATAAGGCCCTCATTCTTACCTGCAGTGATATGTAGGTAGCATTCAAAACAACTTCTCTGTAAGAAGATTCTGCAGCTCCTACATTATATTTATCTTCCAGTTCTAGAACCCCCCAAATAATGAGTCTTTCCATTGATGGCATATCTATGTCAGCTACAATCCATGTTCCTATAAAACAATACTTTAAGAAATATAACATAGTCCATAAACTACAACCTATAGCAAAACATTGACAAGCTTATCAGTGAGTCCTGGTTTTGAGTAAGTTTATAAAATGTCTTTTCATATAATACCTGATTCCTATCTCTCCCAGAAATTCTACTCTTGTTAATTAATGGTCAGGTTTAAATCCACAGAAACCCCAGAAGGCTAGGTTTAGTATCCAGGATGCATTAATAGAGTCCACTTCTTCACACTTGCTCTTTCACCAAAGTGTGCTGATAAAAGTGGAAACCTAACTGTGACATCTACCCTGCCATAGTGTTAATATTACATAAAACAAACATTTTATTCATTTGTGTTTATGTATTTACCTTCAGGTATAATCACATTTGCCCCTGGGTGAGGTACAGTATAATTATTTTCTTGTGATGATTGCCAAAAAGAATCATTTGACCATAAACTGAAAAGAGAAGAGAAATACTTCTGTGAATTACGACTTGTTGTGATATACCCTAATTTTGTCTAAAATGTAAACCATTCCATTTCCCCATAAGATTTTACATGGTGGAGAAGAAAAAAGAAATGCATGCTTTGTCCTTTTAAAGACCTTTGACACATGGGCTATTTCATGGGGAGTGGGGGTAGAGGATATCGTTTGCTAGATTCTGTGAAAAAAGGTGTAGAAGAATGGTCTCTGAATTGACAAGGATGCACCAACGCCATTAAGCCCCTGGCCTGGGATGGGGGTGGCAGATCTGTATCCAAAGTGAAGGCTAGATTAAATTGAAATAATTTTGTAAAGTGCATGGGAGGACAGACAGCCCTCAGTTTTCATCACTATTCCTTCTAGAAAATACCTTTTAATGCAAATTTTTTTGAAGGATATTATTATAAAATTGGTGATATTTTCCCACTGGAAAACATTCACAATCATAGCCTTTCATTCTTATCCATACCATCACTCACTATCAATAATCATGTTACGTATTCCCCTTCTTCTTATTTCTCATTGTACGATCAACAAAGCCCACTTAAAGTAAGCATTAAGTTATATAGCTTGAGCCTTCTGTTTTAATCCTGAGGTAGCACTTCTGGGTCAAGATACTGTTTTGTTTTGTATTATTCATAGCTAGTTGAATAATACAAATTAATCAATCCAATTATAACTATTTCCAGTAGGGAAAATTCATACCGTGGGAAGAAAGAAAAACTATACCATGGCATATATACATAGTTTATCATAATTTACCTTTATCACATTCTGGCCTAGAGCAATCTAAATCTGTTATAGTAGTCATAATAAATGTTAATTAAATATTTAATAATTATATCTACCTTAGAATGCATAAGGGCCTTGATAATTCTCTCTCCATTCTTGGACATTCCACACCCTTTCTATGTCAGGGCACCTGCACAAGTTGCTCCCTAGGTCTCTCCCACCCTTCACTCAGCAAGCTCTTCTTCATCCTTTGGGTTGCAGTTGGAATAACCCCTCCTTAAGGGTGTTCCTAACCACCCCACCCAAAGGCTGTCCCTG